CATTGGTAAATGCGAGCCAATTAGAAGATTAAGCGTTGACAATTACGGTGTCGGATCGCGATCGTATATCAACAATTATCGCGCGAGTGCGACAAATGGCGAGCTGGCCCAGTGCACGTGTAAGCGCGGTGTGCGCCCAGCGTTATCTGAACACCGAAGATATTTTAAAGCAATGGATACGCCTACATGCACATCAATACCTTTTTGGAAAATTATTTGAGAATTCCACGAGTAAAGCTGATATTTTATTATAACGATGACTTGTGTCCTACCTACAAAGTACTTTTAGGGCCTTTCCATACTTTTCAATGTCTTAATATGGCGTGGCACTAAACTTCGTGTATGGAGACTGGCGAAAATATACGACTTAAAGTGTTGAAAAGAGGAATAAGCTAATAACCATAGGCTAAGGCTACTTATATTATGCTATAGTATAAGATATACTTATTAGATATTTCGCTTTGCAGTAAATCTGCCGAATCAGGCAGTGTTTGATTATAAAACTTCCAATAACTACATAATTATTCAGTGTAATAGAGAAGAAGAAAATAGATTTTTTAGACTTAATCTTTTTAATAAAGTGACGCATCCAAAAATGTTTGCTTTGCAAGTTGCACTTTTAACAAACAGGATGGTACATACGCACGGAGCTGCAATATTGTTCGATAAATCGCTAGAGCCTAGTTGTGGGAATTCGTAGCACGATGGGCCATTACTGGTAAAAATGTCCTGTCGTGTGACATCGATCTATTACAATATACGGTATTTGACAACTATTCAAATTCAACTCTTTTACGAACCATCAAAAAGGACAGTTTTTAATGATTTTTTACGAGATTGTAAATTGTGACGTCACGTTTTTTTAGCGTCATACAGGGTACTTATTTTTTTTAAACTTGCTGAATAAAAACTAAGATTAAGTTGGTCATAAAATTAATTAATGAAAGTGTGATTATTTTTTAATATATCATTGTAAATTGAACAGTCGAAATAATTTATTATTGATTAAAGAAAGTACCGAATTGCTAAAAATTACAAAACAGATTTACAGTTCCTCCAGTTGAAACAACATTAAATAATTCATTTATAATCGTAACTAAATTACGAATGTAAATTTCATAAAAAATATTCGTACTTCTGAAATCTTAAATTATTGCAGCCATAATTTCTAATTTTCTCACTAAATTACTTATTGTTATAGCAAATGTGAACACAAAAAGATAAAACAATTTCGAGAAACATGTGATTTACATACTACGACCTGACTTCAAATATTTACACATCTGATTATAAAGAAAAGGAAAAAAAAGACAATATAAAAAAGGATTTATGTGGCACCCATTATAAAGGGGGATGTCAAAATATTTCACTACATAACACAGCTTCTATGAAACCACAAAGAGTCGACGAGTAATTTATAAACATAGGAATCTTAATTTAGATGTTGTATGATGTTCTGTTAAGTTAAATTGTTTTGTGTATGTATGTATAGGTATAAGATAAAAGTATTTGTATATCATATGTGGAAGATTTACGATGGTTAGATGCTGGTGAGAAGTAAATCAAAGTGTGTGTTGGTTGCCAACTGTGTGCTCCAACGATTAGAGTTTTGGCACCGAGACCCGGCGAAAACATCTTCAGCGAGCGGCATGATATCGACGACGGATCCTATTGTACATTAGTAAAACATGTTAATTTAAGTCTGTTCGCACTATTCTACTCAATATACGTGCATTTATGTAGCTCTGTGCATTTACAATTGAGTCATTTTCTTGACGAAGAAAAGCTCATTGTTCAATTTTATGTTTTTGATAAAGCCTCAAGGTCTCTAAAGGTCCAGTATCTACAAAAACGCTTTATTAGGTACATGTTGTTATTTGACTGTTAACATTTATATCGACAACGAATCTGTACAAATAATTTATTGAAATCTTTGCTAGAAAAATTGTGTAATACCTTGTCCAATACGTGACTTTAGCTTGTGTTGCTATTGTAATTTTTCTATTGTAACTAAAATATAAGTAGTTGACATAACTAATAAAGGAATTATCGTAAAATGTACCTACATTATACATTGCTACAATCAATTTAATCAATAAACAAATCACAAGGAAAACCCACACCGGTCAAAGCACAAAAAAATATCCACGAAACCTCATAATTAATGACTTCTATTAATTCTGTGGCAGAAGTTGTCATTTCCGATATTATCAGTGTATCAATAAATTGTTCCTAATTTGTTGAACACAATAAACAAAGGCATCAGATGGACTCTCCGCTTATGAAAGCTTTTGCACACAAAGCCGCGTAATCGACAAACATCAAAATATTTGCCGAGCGGATGAAAAATGGGTCCCCGTTGAATAAACTAAAAGAGTGGCACACAACGCGGCAGGTTTTAAAACGGAGCTTACAGTAAACGCGATTAGCATGCCAACTAGCGACGGACACACCGACATATTTACATTATTCTATTACTCGCCGCGATTATCTTTTGGGGTGAGATAATGTGTGGGGATTTCTCTTTTTGTAACAGTCCTCCCTTTTGTGCTTTTATGGGGCATGATATTAAATCAGTAATAGGGATTTGATTGAGAGCATTACAATCTTATTACAATAGCAGATATTTTAGCAAATGTTGCTGAAGTTTTCGTGTTTTCAGCTGATACTGCGTACAGAATGTCGGTGCACCTGACTTGGTGTCACCCGCTCGACATATTGTGCGTCAATTCGGCCGATCTCTGCGGGGCAATTCAATTACAGTGAAAGATCCCTCATAAGCGAATCGTTTTTCCAAGTCATTAATTTTTTCGAACGACACGGGGCTCCGCGTGATACGGCGGGGTGGGTCCAGGCGCGCGGCTATCTCGCGAGATAATGCTGATTTATGCGGGCGGCCGACGGTCGCGATTCGTCGCGCATCGTCGCCGCGACATGCGAATGTCGCGCGATCGCATCGTCGCTCGCGTCAGTTTGTTTAGCCGCTACCCGCGTTCCGCGCCCGTCGTTCATTTGTGACGGTTAGTTGGCGAGATTTATGCTAATCGACGGGGCCGACTCGGATAAGCTCGCGTGACGGTGTGTGGCAAATTGTCTCCCATTGCGACTTCCCAAAGCCCTTTGTAACGCTTGCTATCGCGCTCCATCTTTATAGCCGATACCGGCCGTATCAAAAGCATCGATAATGTGGAAAAAGAGATAACGCGAGGTAATTACGAAGATCTATCGCATCTAAACCTCCTCATAAAAACGAAACATGGCTACAATCTTTTTTGCGAACGGTTATTATAACAAATCAACACTGTTATTATTGTGTTCTGTGTTGCTAAATTCGGAAATGAATGCGACTCGAATATATTTCCAGATGTCGTATTTTATGGTGCGTGGTAGAAAAACTGGACGCCCGAAGCGTCGTTAACTCGAGAACATTATAAGGAATAAATAAGTGAGGTATTAATACAGCTTTATAGTCCGTGAAAGAGCCTTCATTGTTTTGTACATTATACCCGGCCTTTGTTCACATTTATTTGTATGGAGACGACGTATTTAGCATTAAATAAATTTCAAGGCAAAGCTGTGAAATGGGTTAGATTCCCTAATTAGGCTCAGATATCGAACGGCTGGGTATTGTGTGCGTTTAACTTCAAGTATAATTATATGAAACTAACGTAGCTATAAAGTAAGTGGTGTAGAGAGCTCAGCGGACAGTAAATACGGTGGAGTGTTTATAGGCGGCGAGTATCGTGCGGTTTGTCTGAGTAAGCTATACCGTTATCAAAAGATTAGGTTTGCGAATTTGTCACGATCGGTGGGCTGTCGCGTTGATTTACGCGGGCGTCGATAAGCGTCGCCGGAGCGCGCCGCTCCGCCGCGCGGCCGCTACCGTCCTAGTGTTTCCTCGATAACACTTACTCACAAATCATTTTCACCTGTACGGACATCAAATTTAGCCAAGCAGGTTACTGCTTTATACATTTAGTTGATTGTAATCTGACTTTTATGTGACACCAGTCCTTGCACTTCAAATTCAATTTATTGGGTTTCTAGCAACTTTGACATCCATCACCGTCATGCAAATTTTGCTTTGTGGTAAAGCATACAAAGCCAAATAACCCACCAAACAGATTAGGTTCAATAATTCAAAAGAGCTTCTCGCATACTCAACAAAAAGTACATTTTATATTGCAATCTTAGGATTTCTATAGTAACTAACAGCTTTGACAATTTTTTCGAGAGATCTCACTAGTGGATTTTAGGTTTTAATGAGGAGAAAATTCCGTCGTGTCGTGTATCGAGCAGATTATTTGGATGGCAATAATATTATGTTCGATTGATGTGATCGTTACGATTTTGATTGTAGTGTTCATTGTTGGTTGCGCGAGTGGCAGCAGGCGTGCGGAGCGGCGCGGGCAGGTTGCGGCGCGGTGGCGGTCGATTGCCCATTGTTCGACACCGCGCCGCGACCGACACGCCTCGCGCCGTCGCCTTCACTGTGCCACCTACCTTATCGCCTCTGAAACGCGCCGTCGATATTGCCTTGATCTCGTTAACCAACAATCGCGATTCGATTACCTACCTACCACAGAGTTTTTAATTTCTCGTCAAGTTCAGCACGAGAGGCCTAAAAACAATTCGTTTCGTCATTTAAGTAGTTAATAACGCGTGCTTTATGTCACTACTGCATGTTATGAATGCGGCTCTCGGTTCAATTAATGAAATATTAATTGTGATAAAACGACTCTTGTTGTCGGCCGTCCGTTTTAACGCAGATAATTATAATTCAATTAATTGTAATTTAAGAGATTTTCATGATTGATAAATCACAACGTGCCGGAAATCGTGTCTATAAAAATGGTCACGTACAAAAGAAGACCGACGCCTAATTAATTTATATGTTCGCCACAGACGATAGAGTAGGCGTTGATAGATTGGCACTACGAAATACTTCCCCATGGTTTTTAAATCAATATATTGCATCAAATTAAAAAGTAGACACTTACCTTCCAGTCTTAGTGATGATCATTTCTGTTCCTAATTCGTTAAACTTGTCCCATAGTTCTTTAGTTTCGAGGTGGCACTGTATGTGTCGCATCTCCTCGCTGGACCATCGCTCCACGAGCTGCGGGTTCCTGGGAGGTGGTGATAGAGGCCGGGAGCCACTAGGGGCTCCGCTGGCAGACCCTGCTTCTGACGTCGACGACACATCTACGGGGAATCTCGCTCGAACTCTGCGAGAGGCGGGGACGGGGAGCCCGAGGCAGAAGCTGTCGCGTCCACAAACTTTTCTGAAAGAACAAATGATAAACATTAATTCTCTTCCTACATATGATATCGCCAAACATGTGAGGTCGATAATGTGGTGCGATTTATAAAAAATCTCAACATTAATATTGTGCTTCCAGTTCACAGAAAACCAGAAAAATATTTGTGTCATTAAAATGTATATTTAGTTAAGTAGCTACTAAAACATTTTCTGCTTTGTTGTAGAAAAAACCTGTCATCATAATGAAGTCATTATAAAGCTACAATGTTAAGAACAAAACAATTTGGAAGATATCTAATTTCTTTATCACATAGTTTTGCACGAATATTTTATATATATTTTATAAATAGGTGTGTGTATCTGTCCGTCCACAATCTCGCACTCTATTAAATGACAGATTGACAACCGACAAACTGTCTTTTATTTATTTTTGGGGGTTATAAAAAGGTGCGACGTCTCTGGATTTACTTTTCAACATGTTTTTGTTTAGTGGAGGCCCTTTTGTATAATTTTACGCGGCTAAATGAGTTGCGAGGATTCGTGAGGAATGAGAACTTTTTTCTGAGGGAAAGCCTTGACTTTTGGTTAGGAATTTAGACAGGAAACAAGAGTTTATTAGAAGCTTTTTTTATTAACGACTAATGAAGAAGTGCTCCTTACCTATACATTTTGTTAAACTTATACATAGATGGTTATAAAATAATTTAAATCATTATTCGTTTTTTTACAATATTTTCAAGTCGATTATTCCAATTTTCATTTAAAGAAAAACAGAGATTCAGAGATTTTAGTTGTTACAAAGAATATAGGTACTTAAAAAGTGATAAATCTTTACTACTAATTTAGTATAGAAGCTGATATTTTAGTCAGTAGTCACTATTACAAATCAGTGTGTAATGTAAACCTATCAAAGGCACAATGACTGACAAATCAAAACATTTAAGAATAATTTATCATTGCGCAAAGTTCTCCATGTTTCAAAAGGCATATGTTTATAAGACTAAATCTTATGATTTAGAATTAAATAAAACTAATGTGTTGCTTCTTAAAATGAAGAAACGACATTTAATGTTTTATTCTTCCATTAATTCTTTAACACAAATTTCTTATTATAATATTGACGTTTAAAAGACTATTTGATAATAGTAATCAATTTAATATTAAAGAAAACCTTTTTCTTTAAATGTTTGAGCCTAACTTTTTAATACTCCTTCAACAAAATACAAAAACATTTCCTACTATTAATAAAGATGTTGGTTACTATAACCAGACCATATGAATAGGCCTATTGTTAAGATAAATCTTATCATCGCTTCAGGTTGTAAATTTTCCTACGGTTAGTGGAACGATTAGCTAGTGACAAAGAGCGACCCTGAGGTAATCTCATAACCACCATGTTGGATATGGCGATTGTTATTAAGTACTATGCCTATATATTAAAGCAAGTCAAGCTATACTAGACCTTAACGCATTTTAAGCTTTATTTGTTTTGAGTTAATGTTGAAAATGTGTTGTCTGGATTGAAGTAAGTTTATGTGCTGGTTCTGTATTATAGTGCTAGGCTTGAAGCAATTGCAGTGTAATATGAGTAATTAAAACATCGTTACTAGAATTGCATATTTTTCTGTTGCTTTTTTTACAGATTATTGTAGGTTAAAGTTATCATGTAGTATTTATTTTATAGCGCTATTTCATTCGTTTTATAGATCCGAGGAATTTGTATTGTTACATGTTTTTTTAATAACCGTAGTTGTACAATTGGCTCATTTTTGGTGTACAGTCACGCGGCAACTATGTATGTTTAAAATGTGCTTTTTAACGTTTCTCTAGATTTCACAATGCAAAATTTAAAGCTTTTCTTTAACTATATTTAACTAATCAATCCTTTAAATGTACCTACTTAATCAATATTTATAATAATATGGATTTCACAAAATAAAATTGAGTTGACATACAAACTATTAGATACGGAAACTAAAATAGAACTAATCATGCTACGCCGTAGTAACTTGCTACGAAAACAATATAAATAAGGTATTGTCCCGAAAATAATATTTAATTGGCACATACCAGTGACTTTGTCTACGTTATTAAAGGTGTATTAGTAATGAAAGATAGCAATTAAATATATAAAGGTAGCCTTTATATTATTCCTGAGAGTAATATATCTCAACGCTACATTTCAAGCAGATCCGTTCAGTAGTTATTTTGTCAAGAAATATTAAAAAAAAAATATTTTTTTTTGAATGAACGTACTTTCATAATTATGTAAGTATGTACTCATCCTTGCAAATTTTTATATTAAGTATATATAGTAACTTAGGATAGTGGCAAGCAGGAAACTTTGAAATAAGTTGTATGTTCCTGTATATAAAATTCATTTTTGATACTTGTTTTAATAAAATTAGATCAAATAATTAGCGTAAAGCTAAGTCGTGCCTCATTATTCATTTTGTGGTGAATTTTATGAAGTACTTGTTCTGTCCATAATAATGCTCAAATGATTTAATAAATAATTTATTCAATAAATTATCATCGTACCTTTAAATTTAAATAGAATTTCAGTTGTTTTCGTGGTGATAAAAAGGTGTAAGTCATAGGTAATAAGTAAGTCATCATAGTACAATAATCATTTATTTTATTAGTTCATTTGACTATACCTCTATATGTTTATAAGTTACATGCAATAACTACTATAGACAGTACCTACTCTATTATAAATTTTTAAATTTACCTTTTTTTATTTTACTGGTTTTATTTCTGAAAATGTGTAATTAGATACAATTTATTTGTTTATCGTAAATTATGTAGGTTCATTACTACCTTATTAATGAACTTTTTGCTAAATAATTTTAATCAAAATGATGTTAGGACGCCATAAGCCCCACAAAAGTATACAACAATAACTTATATAATTTTTTTTCAACAATTTTATACTCGAACCCTTATTGATATTAATATCAATAAAAATGCTTTAGGCACCTGATAAATAATCATCAAAATATATGACGGGGCTTGATACCAAATATTTCTCAGTAAAGATATAAAACTTAGTTTCCATTTTTAATTTTATGACACTATCAAAGTTAGTGTAAGTAAAAGGCAGTATCATAAATTACCTTTGCTTTACCTTTTAAAAAGATTGAGTATTTTATTGGCGGCCATTGTTGTAAATGCGTGTTTGTCCATAGAGTATTAAAAGAAACTGAGCCATAGGTTTACTTATTCATTTTTTTATTTATTTATCAAAACCTTTTCTGTAATTCATGTTTTTGGTATTGTTATTTGTAATGAAAACATTTTTATTTACTGTTAAATCAGAACCTAATTGTCCAAGGGATTCACTTAACAGTACCTAAAAGTGTTTTTGTTGTATCAGGTCTCTCATTTACCTGTTTGATTTAATAATAGATACTAATATGAAATTTAAAGAAATGTCTACTTTCTAATGTAGGTATTAAAGTGTCTTTTCATAAACAAATCCTTAACTGCCCGTTTGGGTAGCTTTTTATTGATGGTCAATAGGTTTTAATTAATATAAAATTTTAGAAAAGAAATTACTTTAAGTATATTCGTATAAGTATGTGTCCACATACTATGTTTATATATATTGAATACGCCTTTTCCGATGATTCCTTTTATTAACATTTTATGAATAATTCAAGTAAAGATTTGTAACATTTTGCTGACAGTTTATAATAAATATTGCGATAAGAACCAGCAATAAATCATTACAATCGATATATTTATATTTTACAGAAAACCTTTAATAACAACCGCGACAAATCGTTTACTGAAAAGCGTTTTTAATATGCCCATATCTTTTAAAAAAATATTAATACAATGTTGAATAATGTAGGCCTAAGTAAAAATTTTGATATGTTCAATGTTCCATCATTTTTCTTTTCGTATTATAAATAAATGTAGGTAATGTAGCTTTATATGTACCTATACATAAATTTGAAAAGATTTCGTAATCCCTACATTTATGAACTTCCTACAGGACACAAATTTAAAAAAAATATATGAATGAAACGTAAAAGTTTACAATACAATACAATTTATAATAAGAAGTAATGAATAATCATTTTAATAAAAGTGAATTATAATCTCTCTAAAATCTATTAACAAAATTATATCGTAACATATAAAAAGTATTAACATTTAATTAATTTACCTTTAATTTCTGTTATATAAAATACATTCATGAATAACAACATTATTCAACATTGTACTGCTGATTTATTTCCATTGAGTTCGTTTGTTGGCCTTAACCTTGTTCAGGGGAGCTTGTCAAACAATGTTTACAACCGCTAGTTCCACATAATAAAGTTTTTATTGAACTTTTGCTTCAGTAACCGACTTGTTCTTATTGGAACATGAGTTTCTATAACTTTCAACTGGTTAATGACTTTGTAAACTTTGTTGTTTTTAATTAAGAATTTGTTATGTTTTAGCATAATCTATTATTATTCAGTTATTATGTATGTGGCTAAGAAAAGTAGTTTTAACGGCTTTTAATGATGGTTTGTTTCATTAGTTTTTCTAATCAGTTGATAAACTAAATTGCTTATGAGACCAAGATCTTAAAAAGACAAGTCAAAAACTTACCTAAAGGCATAAGTGTGTCTTCTCTGGGGTCTCTATGTCTTCGCCTCTCTCTCCTCTCCTGTCGGTCCCTGGCCATGATGGCAGCGATGGAGAAGTCAGTGGCGCAGGGGCGCGCGGAGCAGTCCTCCTCCATTGCGGGCCCCTGCCGCTCGCGGCCCTCTCCCTGCAGCAGCATCAAGTTGACCGCCTGCGAGCCCAGCCTGCCTACAGCTGACCAC